ACAAAAAAAAAAAAAAAAAGTTCCTTCCAACTGGTCTGTGGTGGCCATTATGGGGCCAGAGCGTGGGATCCACTGAGAGGTATGGAAGCACTGTTTTCTTTCAAATGGCTCTGGTGTCAAGTCATTCCTTGTCACAGTTCTTCCGTATCATTCACTTGGCACTGTGTACTTTGGAAGAACCCCGCTTTTCCTCCAAAGTCCGAGGGACCTAGAAGAGATGTGATGTCTTAAGGTACTAGCAGGAGAGGAGTGGACTAGGACAGATCCCACTGAGCCTGTGATTAACATGTGGAACCTCTGGATTGCACTGGTCCTGTGCGTGGTAGAGGTTTCCCAGCTCTCAGATGACATTGAATCTTTTTTTCCATATTTTTTTCTTTGGGGTTTGGGCCTCTACTGCTGCCTAGTAGAGCCAAAGAGCAGGCAGTATGGTGGTCTCAGGGGGCTCCCATATGATAAAGCAAAGCCTCAGATTGTGGCCCACCCTCTTTGGCTCACTGCCCTGGCTTGAAGGAATGCAGGTGCACAGAACTTATTTCAAGGGCATTCTGTTCTGCACAACCAATACAGCCAAGTAACTTTGAGTCAGCTGATATGTGTGTACATTGAGTTTTTCAAATGACATTTCTCAGAAAAATGTCTCAAACTTGCCCTGGTGAAAATGAAATACCCTACTTCCTGTGGTGTGGAGCATTCATTAAAACCCTTTACCTGACACGTGGATGAACTCTCCCCGCTGAGCACTTTGCTGTCCCCAAAGTTTGGCCTCCTAGGTATGCATGGATGGTTTCTCGGATCTGAAAGTGGAATTGCTGTGCCATGTACTCTGGACACCATGGAGGGCTGTGAGTGTAAGCCCCCTCTGTCCAGGATGCCCCTTAGAGTGTTGCCCAGGCCTGAACCAGCAGGGAAATCTCTTGGGTGAGAACCACCTCTGGGGTCAGGGAAGACCTGCTAGTCGGGGTCCGAGGTGCTAGCCGTTCTCATCCTCCGCGGCACCTGTCATGTCCTTCATAGGAGAGCTGCAGGCGATGCCGTATCACACCAACACCTGGACAGGAAGATTGGGAAGGTGTCTCTGCTGCATGGACGCAGGAGAGGAAAGGAGACAGGACAGACGTGGGTTTAACATGGCCTCTGGCTTTCTTGACTGTGGGACTTGGACAACTCACTTCACCCATTTGTAAATTGAGGAATGTGGTGGGAAACACAGTGCCCTCCCCAGTGCAGTGTTCTGCCTGGTACCTACCCTGCATCCGTGAGCAAATGTTGAGACTGGTGGGTACTTGGCTGTTCCCAGGGAATGGCTTGCAAACAAGACATCCTGTTTGGTCCTTGCCCCAAGGCGTCCACAGTCCAGCGTAGAAACAGATGTAGAGGCTCAGTTTCTTTCTGTGTCAAGAGGTGGACACACAGATGGCAGCGATGCCGTGGTGGGAGGCAGTGCCAGTAAGCAGAGCCGAGGGGGTTGCCCTCATTTTCTTACCATCCTGTGCCTGGGTCACTAGGTAAACTTTTCAGGTGGGATGCTGACAGTGTCCATTTTAATTTTCAGCGCTCATTTTGAATTAGTTATAGGTTGGCTGATTTAAAAGCTGACAAAACCAGGCAGAGCAGTGTCTTGCGCCCTGGACAAGAGGCTGTTTCCACTGTGGCTGCCAAGCCTGCGGAGTGAGTCTGCGCGTTGGGAGGGCTGCTCACACCAGAGGTGTCATTCTAGGTATTCTTCCGGCTCCACGCTTCCATCCTGAAGCTCCTGGGGAGACCTGATTATGGTGTCAGTGCAGAGGTCCTGGTCAGCTTTATGAAGGAGGCTGCAGAAGGTCCCTTTGCCAGGGGCGAGGAGAAGAACACACCCAAAGCTTCAGAAAAGTAAGTGAATTGCCTGGCCCTCAGTGGCTCGTTACTGCAGTAGCATTCACAGAGTGCCTGCCAGGTAAAGTGGAACTGGGGGGGGGCAGTCTCTGGAACCTGCCTGAAAATGCTAATTCCTGAGCCAAGCAAGATACTTCTGATGAATCTGAGGAGGGGGTGCGTGTGCAGTCCCTGGTCCCGCCTGGTGCCACCCCAGGTGTAAGTCCTGGGGAAAAGCTGGTACCTTCCCTTCCCCTCCTCTAGAGCTTATCTCTGTCAGGTGCAGAAAACTGAAAAAGACCAATTTTCTCTGCACACTTTTAACCCGGTCCTTTCCAGGGCCTTACCCTAGAATAGATGACCTGTAAGCCTTGCTGTGCTGCTTTTTTCCTAAGAAACATTCAGAAGCATGGGAAGCATGGGCTCCTCCTGTGCTACCAGTAAACTCAAGAAAGCTGGGGCTCTCATGGTTTCTTTAATGGCCTGGGGCTGGCTCAGTTTTACCCTGGTATGAATCTATGGCTCACACTCCTCTCAGATGTCCCTCACCTGGTACTTGGCACAGCTCACCCCATCTCTGGTACTCCTGCCTGGCTGGACACTTTGTAGGAGTCAGCTGAGTGCCAGAGAGAAACCCTGCTCCCTGAGGGCCATCTGGTCATGGCCACAGTTAGTGCTCAACTTTGCAGAGCCCCTGGGCTGTGGTAGGTTCCTTGGTGGGTGCAGTCTGCTCAGAAGTAATAGATAATTCACTGAGGAACCTCAGTGTACAGTGAAGCATCTGTCTTGTGGCCTCCCCCATTACCAGGGGGTTGACCTCAGCGCCTTTGCGCTGAGCCACATCCCCACCCCACCCCACCCCGCTTTAATTTTTCTCTTGTAGCAGGTCTTGCTAACTTGGCCACGTGTGCCATGGCTTCAAAGTTGTCTTTCATCGATGGTAATTCTGTTTAAAATTTTTAAAATTATGTAAAAGAACATAGGAATCAGACCAGGGATTTAGCTCAGTGGCACTGTGCCTGCCTCACAAGTGCAAGGTTCTGAGATCAATCCCCATTACCAAAAAAAAAAAAAGAAGAATCTATACTAGTTACAGGAAACTCAGGCCCACATGAATATAGAGACTACAGTGTGACAGATCTTCCTCTTCCCCAAAATTTTTCACCACACACAGTTTAATTTCTTAAGTCATTTTCTTTATGTTTGTATACACTTATATGCACACGTGCAATTGTAGGGTTTCTTCTATAAAAAGAAGCTGCTGAAGGTATTGTTCTAGAGTTTTTTTTCCCTCAACGATAGGTCCAGAACACAGTCCGTAGAGATGGTACCCTACTGACTGCATTCTTTCTATCTCACACTTGGTTCCATAGTACAGACACATCCTGTTTGATGTAAGCATTCCCATGGACGTGGAGGGTGCCCATACTTTCTCTTTTCCTCACACATTACAGCAGATACTGTGTCTTTGTACTTGTGTGAGCATGCAATAGAGCACGTATGTTTCTGTCCACCCAGTTGTCAGAGATAGATTTTTGAGGCTGTCATACAGAAGAGTACTGGCTTGATAGGGAGCGGTGCTAGCGTACTTCTGCAGAGAGGCTTGGCAGCTCTTATGCAAAGCCTCCTGAACCCCACGACCCAGAGAGGCTGGCAGAACCTGGCCAGAAGTGTTGGGCGGCATCCGGTGAAAGACTGGTGGTTGCTTCTCTGGGGAACACCAGCTAGATGGTGTAGAGGCCACCAAAGATACTTAGGAGCAGCAAGCCTTGGGAAGGGCGCTGACCCACAGCACGAGTCCATCTCTCTACATTGTGGAGACTGACCCATGCCCACCCTTCTCTCCCCACAGGGAGAAGGCCTGCCTGGTGGACGAGGACTCCCACTCTTCAGCTGGGACACTGCCGGGCCCCGGAGCCTCCCTCCCCTCCTCTGGCCCAGGTCTGACATCCCCACCTTACACAGCCACTCCGATTGACCACGATTACGTCAAATGTAAAAAACCCCACCAGCAGGCAACGCCGGACGGTATAGTCCCTGTTCTCCCTACTGCCAGCCCAGGGCGGCACACCAATCGTGGGGAGGGTGCTGGAGCGACTTTGTTTCGTCGCTTTGTTTCGGTGGGGGGTACTGGGTCTGGGGTGACACGGGCAATGTTGCGGCTGCTCATTAACTTCATGGACTCACGGTGATTCTTGTGCTTCCAAGACATGCTCAGGGTCGCCACCTGCCCGCTTGCCCACCTGGGAGCCAGGGGAGGGGAGTCTGGATTAGTGCACCTCATTGCTTTGAGCCTGCATTTCTCACCTGAAAAATAGGGGTGTGGCTTCTCCTTCAAAGGGCATTTGGAAGACCCTAGGCCACCGACAGTGACTCCTGGTGGTCAGCGTGGTAGGCCTGCGCCATTGAGCGCCGCACTGTTACGGCTCTGTCCCTCTGACAGTAGTGGGAAGGCCGCGATGGGTGCTAAGTCTGTCACCTGTGGGCATCCAGACAGGATGCTGATGAGGGTCACCTGAGACCAGGTGCAGGGCCATCTCATGTGGGATGGGGCAGGTGGCGACTGTCCAACTACATTCCTTACTAACATTAGAAGGCTTGCATGCTGGCCTGTAGCTTGATTCTTCATGTTCTCCTCACCTTTACAGTGAGAAGCTGGTGACAGAATACTTGCTGGAATAAGCTAAGTTGGTGGATATAGAGGGCCGTTGAAGTGGAGCCTTGGGGAGTAGTAACAATGCTGAAAATACCTACATTGCTCATCTCCTCTGGACTGTGGAGAAACAGGCCTTGCTCTGCCTTCTCTAGGGCGATGGGATGGATACCCCTAGGTGGGTAGGATTAGTCACAGGGCTGTGCCTCCTGCCAGGTGGCCTTCGTAGCGTGGCTTCTTAGAGGAAGGATAGGCCTTTCAGGCACCATGGTAGCCGTGAAGTTGAGATCCAGCACAGATCTGGGTGGAAGGGGGCCAGGGACCACGCTGCCTTGGCTAGTGTCCTGCTGAAGTCCTGCCCATTGTGCAGGTTCCTGGAGAGCACAGGCATCTGCCCTTGGCTCGCTGGGCCAAGCGAGCAGGTTTAGAGAAGCACTGGTAAAAGACCACAAGGTGGCCTGGGCTCGGCTTCTCTGGAAATAGGATTTGATGCTCTCCTAAGAGGACAGGAGACTTGCAGTATTCCCTCCTGGGTTTGATTTGGTCCGCAGCATGTGTGTTGAGAGAGGCTGAGGGTCTATGTTGTGTGCTGCATGTCTCCATCACCGCTTGCCAGTGTTGTGTCTTTACCCAGTCTGGCATTGGCATTCCCTGCCTGCCTCAGAACGTTGAGCAGAAACAGGAGGGGCTGGATGCCCACTCTTCCAGTCATCAGTTCTACAGATATTCCCTCAGTAATGTCCTCTCTTCCTTCTTAGTTAACTCACGTTAATCTGGGAAACCACCCTGTTCCAACCTTTTACTCCTGTGAAAACACATTAGCAGTAAATTCTTCTTCTGGGCCTGTGAGGATTTAGTACCATGCCCAAGTTTTCAGGAGAGAACTTCCTTTCATGGTTGTCCAGGTGATGTGTGACCCTGCTTGTGTACTCTTGGACTGGGGAGCACTAGCGCCGGTCCTGCGGCCTCCTGCCCAGCTCAGGTTACAGACATCAAGGACTCTGCTGTCATCCCTTAGAGCAGGGCACACCTCCGGGAGCAGGGAAGGAAGGAAACAGGTGTGCTCAGAGGGGGACCATGCTGCTACCTGGCACTGAGTACCTAGCTGTCCCATGTGGACACCAGCTATGCATGCAGTTGTGAGGGAGCCACTGCAGAGTGTGGGGGGTGGGCACTGTGCATGGCAGGTCTAGGGTGCCAGCATAACTTTATTCTAGAAGGTTGAAGAAGAAAATTGATTTGTATGTAAGTTCAAATAAACATCCACTGTTTTCAGAGTGACTCCTGCCAGTAGTATGGAGCTGTTGGCATCCCGGTCCACCTTCACCCAGTCCCCGCCCTGGTATACTGGGCAGCACAGTACTTTCAGAACTCTTGGCCTCTTCACCCCCCTTACCTCTAAGACAAAACAGTGCCTGCAATAGGAAATGTTTGAAACCCTAAAATAGCCATGAACTTCAAGTGCTGGAGTGGTCCTTCCAGCAGTGGCTCTGGTTCCTAGTGACAGGCCCAGGCTGAAGGCAGAAAAAGCCAATTGCAGTATCGGGGGATTTGCTGGTCACCTCAAGAGCCCATGCTGCCCACTGCTACTCCTGTTCCTGACCCATCCCCGGGAGGAGAACATGTGGCTTGTGCGTTTAATTCAGCTTCTCAGTCTGAGACCAGCCTCACCTCTCCTATAAGAGAGGGGCATCAGCACCCACTGCAGGTTATAGCCAAACCCTCTCAGTGCAAGATGGGTAACGGGTGCTTTTAGCCCTGGTGCCACTGGTTCCGGGACCCACTGAAGGTCAGAGGAAGAGGCAAGAGTATGAGGCCTTGGGGTCAGAAACATCTGTATTCCAGTTCTGTGTTCCATCGCTTATGTGCTCAGCAATCTTGGACTCAGGCCTTTGCATCTCTGACCTGTTTTCTTACCTGTAGAATGGGGTTGTGTTTGCCTTGTGGGTATTAAGCAAAAGTGCTTGCATATTGTGGCCACCACCTAAAGTTGTTCTGGTCATCAGTGAGGCTGGGATGAGAAATGCTAGCACCACAAGAAGGAAGATCCCTGGCTCTAGGGCCCATCACCCTCCATTTGCAACCAACTCTCCAGCCAGTGGTGTGACCTCAGAAGATGGGCAGCCATTGCCATTGAAGCAGTAGCCCTGCGTGGGCCTGGGCATTTGAGTCCCAGCCTCCTGCCTCATTTAGCCTCTCAGGCTAATTAATGTGTCACCAGTGGGAGAGGAAGCTAAGCATCAGGACCTGACTTGAGTGTGGCTAGGAGCCCCAGCGTTAGAGCTACTTCTCCCATTTAGTACTGTACTGTACTTCTTTGCTCCAAAAGTAGAAACCAGTAGAGTCAATGCTGCTTTGGTATAAGATTTAGAAAAATAGTTCCAGGTGTATATACGTACCTTGACATTTGATAACAGCTTCCTTGCAGGACTCAGGTTCACTCTCTGAAATTGCCTCACCGGCCACCTTGTGCTACTTGCAGCCCATTCACAACTTGATGAAAGTCTTTGGAATTGGCCCCTCAGGCTGTTGTGTGATCACCACAGCTGGTGATCATAGCCAGTCCTTCTCAGGGAGCCAAGAAGGCACTTTCAGCTGACCTGAGAAGGGACCCTCTGGCCAAGCTGAAAAACAGGTCAGCCAGCTGACCTGGCTGTCTTCCCCACTCGACTAACTCCTGCCCTTTGTCCATCTCTTGGAGCACAGTGTAACCTTCAAGGTGCTCCCGATGACTGTTTACACCTGTTAGATAATGTAATGAGACGTTTGATCAAAGTCTGGACCCCTTTTCCACGTGCAGTGTTGGTATGTCGGCACGTGTAGCACATGGTGTGTGTGCACACAGACGTGTGTAATTAGACCCTTCTACACAACACTATGTGCTTGTTCCATGTCAGTTCCAGACCAGTGCCTGCATATTTCCATTTTTTCAGCTGCCTTGCAGGTTTGGCTGTGTCCTTGTTTCCTGGAGAAACCTAGCTCAAGGCAAGTAGATACCCTTCCGGGGCTTCCTATGGTCCTGACAGAGCTGAGAGAAAGAGTGAAGTATGTTACCTTCTACTTAGGCCATTCTGTGCATGAGGTAATGGCTGGGAAAGACCCTGTACCTGACTGACCTGACAGATTACATCTACGTGCATTTCCCACTGAGGACCCAGGGAGCAGGGCTGTTCTGGAATGACTCGGCCCTTCATTTGGTCTGACTTGGCCAATCTTTGGGATATGTCTGTAGCAGCTGTGTTGGCCTAAGATTCACAATCTGCCTGTCATGCTCCATGTCACCTCAGAATGCCACAGCCAGGAGGGACGTCAGAAGTCAGAGGCCTGCCCTGTGGCCTTCTCAATAGTTTTTTGGCCAGCCTGTAACCACATCCATGCAGGTGTTCTGTCAGTACGGTGCTGGGTGCACAGGGAAGCTTTGGTTCCTGCTGCAGGCTTAGAGGAAGCAGGTGTGAGTCAGTCAGTTACATAGCTGAGGGCTGGGTACAACCAGAGCTAGTCCTGGAGAGGTGAGTTTGCCTATCCCAGAGAGATGTGGCCTGGCTAGAGATGGAAGGCCTTCTTTATTTATTTTTGGTACTAGTGATTGAATTTGGGCCCTTGTGCTTGCAAGGCAGTGGAACCACTGAGTCAAATCCCCGGTTCTTAGAAGGCCTTCTTAAGCAAAACTTAGCCAAGCTCTGAGGGGTGCATTGATTTACTGTGAGGTCTGGTGATATTGGGGAGAAGAGCGGGCACCTTGGGGGCTGGTCTCATGGTTGCAACTGATGCCCACTGGCGCCCAGAGCTGCTGAAGGAGCCTCTGATGCTGCCCTGAACCTTAGTTTGTAGTGCGCCTTCCTGGAGAGCCCAGAGCACCCATGCCAAATCCCCTTCATAGCCATCCATCCTCACCCACCATGCTGTCACCATCTGTCGTGTGCTGTCTGTGTTCATCTTTGCCTGTTTGCCCCATGTTACCTCCACCAATATTGCCCGTGCTGCCCCTAACCCTGACCACACTCTGTTCTCCAGGCTTTGTCTTTCTGCTTGCACCTGTCACGGCTCGCTTTGGGGAACAGCGCAGACCGCATGCTCAGCCCTCAGCCCGGCTCCCTGCTTTCCCTGTGACCAGGAGCACCTTCATATTCACTGGTCCTGTGATTTGGAGCGTGTGTGTTTGATGTGCTTGCTTCTGCCTATGGCCCATATTCTCGGTTCTGGCCAGATGCAGAGGCTGTGGTCTCTACCTACTGATCACCTGTCCAGGCAGGTGACTTAGCCCTGAATTTCCATTGCTTTGCTCTTTTCTTTAAAAACAAAACAAAACAAAACAAAACAAAACAAAGGCAACAGACTTAAGATACCATTCTCAGAGTAGCCGAGACACTCTGAG